ACACCTCTACGTTGGGCTCACGGACCTCCGCCCGCATGCCGGATCGACGACCATTAAGTTCACTACGTTGTATCGGCAATTAAGTTCACTGCCCATAGTTCCATTGATTCGTCATCCCCCCTACCCTCCAACACAGGGAGACACAACAATTCCCCCTTCCCTCCCCCGCCACGGATCCCAGCCTAATTATCTGCCCACCCCCATTCACACATTAGTTGCTTACCTGTCACTGGCTGCCCTGTCACGCCAGCAAATGTATTCTGACCAGTTCACTTTCTCCACTGTTTATTTCGTCTGACGACGGGTTGGTGTCACCAGCTCGAAAATTTACGAGTAAAACTCAATTTTTCCGACGAGCCTTCTCTCTTCATCATATTATCTCGTAATGCACACTACCTCAGCTATCCATATATATATATATATATATATGAATATAGAAGGCTCGTCGGGAAAAATCGAGTTGTACTCGTGAATTTTCGAGCTGGTGACACCAACTCGTCGTAAGACGAAATAAACGTTTATTTTGTCTGACGACGGTTTGGTGTCACCATCCCTATATTCACGAGTACAACTCGATTTTTCCCGACGAGCCTTCCATCTTCATCATATTATCTCGGAATCTAAACTACCTCAACTATTTAATATTTATATATATGTATTGGAGGTCAATACGTTCTTCGGCGAAAGTAGAACATTTTATTGAGTAAATTTTCGAAGTCTGTTCCCCGTATCATCCTCAGAGTGGAGTGAATGAGCAAAAAACCATTTAAATTTCAAACGTACTGGGAAATCAATATTTATTTTGTACTTCAGCCAGTGAGTGGTTGCCCAGCGCATCAGTCTCTGTCGACTGACTTTCGTCTCTTCCACTCTTCCCTGAGAATTTTGTATGTGGTATCTAACGCGATGTGCCTATTGATGAATGACTAATCGGAGTGCGCTTTTGCTCGAGTCTGACGACGACACGGAGAACCGACGTCAAAAATCTACTCAATAAAGATTTTTATTTTTCCAAAGGACGTATTTGCCTCCAAATTATGTTTCATGGGATGTCTGCGTTCCAATTTATATATATATGTACTGGGAAACGGGTATCCCAATGAATTTAATCATAAAAACGTAAAGTTCTTTGGGAACAAAATATCTCTTATTGCGGGAGTTTTCGAGACTGGTTTCCCAAGTCGTCGTCTGACTTCTGGGCCACGTACAAAGACAGTTAACTGTTTAATCGTGTCGAGCAAGTGGTTATGTGGTTGGCTAAAGCCTGTGTCATCCCCCTGGACATTATCTGTGCTCGCTTTCATTTGTCGTTGAGACATTTGTATTGATTAAGATGGCACGTATAAATTTCTCAAGGACAAATGAAAGCGAGCTCAGACAATGCCGTGAAAATGACGAAGTACCATTGATACTCATTGGTGCAGGCTTCGGCCAACCACAGAATCACTCCTTCAACGCGGTTAAACAGATAACTGTTTTTGTACATGCCCAAGACGTCTGACGACGATTTGAGGAACCAGGATCGAAGATTTACGCAATAAAGGTTATAATGTTCCCAAAGAACCTTGCCTAATTAAAATATATATACATATATTCAATAGTTAGTGTATTTGTTTGGCCATCATTAACTAAATGTCAAGGCTGCCGCATAGTAAAGAAAAGATTATTATCTTATTCATGACATTTTTGTATTATAAGCAGACCTGCATTAGACTGTCGAATTAACAAAGAAAGTGCAAAGTAGTTCGCCTAATCTTTAACCTGGACGCTCATGACGACATGCAGCAAGGGAAGTCCTATTGAATCGTGCAAGTAAGTCTTTTGCGCCTGAGATCTGAACTGATCACTGCGGTTAATGCTAATAAACTCCATAAAAAAGAAAAGGATGAAATAAAATTTGCTTATTCTCTGGACTCCGGGGACGAATGCTACTATTTAAGTGAAACAAAAACAGATACACGTATAGGTTTCTGGTAAAAGTCCAGATCCCAAAATGATTGCGTACTTTAGCGTTGGGGTAGGCTTGCATTAGCTCTTTAAAGAAGACTGATCCGGGAAAATCCGTCAGTCCATGATAGCCATGCAGAAGTCGATCCCAGTACGCTCGATCAGTCCGTAGCACACCACGCTCCATGTCTTCAAGGCTTTCCACCCAGAACTGGAGATCTTGTGAAGAGTCCTGCATCGAATCGAAGGTGTGATAACAGGGGCCGCTGTAGATCTTTTCTAAAGCAGCCTGCAGACTACGAGTCCCTGTTCTCATCATGCCGGCGCCAATAAAAACAATAGACTCGGCTGGGCTTTCATGTTGGTCCTGTTTGCGCACAGCCATATCCATCTAATCTGCCTAAAAGGAAAAACACGTTTTCATAAACAAGGCAGCGCGTCTTATTTAAAATTCCACTGATAGAGCGTATACTTTTATGTTCAATATCATTTTGTATGTATACTTCAAAGCGTCTCACAGGGAAAAAACAACTGTCAGAAGACATTGCTAAGTCGCTCAAACAAACTGAGGCGAGCATAGTGAATATCTCTGGATTGCCTAAAGTTCGCGAAACCGAAGTCCCACCTAGACCAATTGTATCACTAATAGGTGCGCCTAACTACAACATTTCCAAATGGTTATTCCAGAAGCTTCATCCGCTCACGAGTAATTGTGAAACTTCAATAGAAAACTTGACAGAATTCCTGAAGAAATTGCAAGGGATCACAATTTCCGCCGATGAGATAGTGGTCTCCTTTGAAGTCGTTTCCCTGTTTACGTCAGTACCGTTTGATGTCGCAAAGCAATACCCAGAGGATCTCCAGCTGTGTTAGGACAGTAATGTACCCGTCGCCGCTGTGCTCGAACTGATTGGCTCATACTTGGAAAGTAACTTTTCATTCGACTAGCAATGCCACAAGCAACTGAATGGAGCCCCTATGGGGTCACCCATTTATGGTTTTCTCGCTGAAATAACAAAGCAGAAACTAGCGACTACGGCACTCCCGTTATGTACTCCTAAATTGTGGCTGGGATATGTGGATGGCACATTTGTTATCGTAAAAAAGAACCAACTAGAAATGTTCCACAATATTTTCAGCTCAACAATTTCTGGGATATAATTCACACTTGAAAAGGAAGTGGACAGCAAACTCCCATTTCTGGATGTCCTCGTGCAGCGAAAGGTCGACGGAACGTTACGCACATCCGTTTACCGGAAAGAAACTTACGCTGAAGTCTACCAGCTCATTTCTCAAAAACGGAGTGCCGTAAACAGTCTGCTTAGTCGAGCAAAAACACATTTTTCGGATGGAGAAGGCTATCGGGCTGAACTGAATTTCTTGTGCGAATTATCGCAGAATGGATGCCCTAAGGATTTTGTACGCGAATGCATGAGGCAGCGAGAATCAAGGGAGAATAAGCCGGTTAGTTCCAATCAGACGCCTGAGCTAAGCACTTGTCAAACTCTTCCTTCGTCAATAATGTGTCTGAACTCGTCGAATGACACTTAAGGAAGCACCAAATTCGAGTGGCGAAAAAACCTATGACTACTTTGCGCTCCGAGCTGGTACATCCTAAGGATAGGGTTAACCAGCTAAACAAGAAAGAGGTCGTCTACAAGATCCCGAGAATTCCTCGAGGCAATGCACTCTGATGAATCATGCATCAACCGGCATATCGAGTTGGATGCCGTGTACAGAAACCTGAAGGAGAAATGGAAGAGAAAGGAGCCAACCAGCTCAGGTGGCCGCCTACCGGCGCACACACCATGCAAATATCAATTTTTGTGCACTCGTGACGTTAGCTGTTTCTTCAGTTTCAGTTTCAGTTTATTAAGGGAAATATAGGCGAGCGCTTTTAAACTCCCTATTGGTTACAAGTTGTCGGAGAAAAACATTGACAGTGGGAAAGAGAAAAAAGGGTTTTGTACATAATCGCTGACATCTAGTCGAAAAGAATTATCAATAACGGTTACTAACAAGTTACAAGTAGTATAAACAAGGTTAAGTTGGTGCCGGTTATGTGAGTGGATGCAAGGCTGGTAACTGGGAGGCTTGATACGCGTCAAATCTAAACTTAAAGGAATTCACACAGGAGGAGGTTGCAACATCGGTGAACAGGGCATTCCACGCTGCAACCACTCTGTGACTGAAAAAGAACTTTCTCCCATCGATTCTTGCTTTCCCGGCGCGTAGTTTTAGGGGATGACCGCGCAAATTGGGCGTGTTAGCTTGTGTGAAGTAATCAGTGGGATCTAAACAACAGTGTAGGCCGTTGATAATGCGAAATGCAAGTATAAGGTCACCACGTAATTGCCTGTAGAAAAGTGGAAACAGGTTGAGAGTTGACAGTCGAGATTCGTAAGACAGCGCTCCCAGACCTTGTGTCATTTTGGTCGCCCGTCTCTGGACCTTCTCCAAAACGGTATAGTCCTTGGCAGTCCAAGGTCTCCACGCCCGTATGGCGTATTCTAGATGAGGCCTCACGTAGGTGCCAAATATTTTTGAAAAGCTGTCTGGATCTAATCCCATAAATGCTCGCTTAATGAGTTGCAGTGTAGCCATAGCCGATTTAGCCGCCTTCGCGCAGTGCAGTGTCGTTTTGAGTGAAGATGTAATCCATACACCCAAGTCCTTCTGACTGTCAACCTGTTGCAGTGGTGTGCCCTCTAGAAAGTAAGTCCTGGGGCTGGAGGTTCTGAAGCTGCCTAGTTGAAGAAAGTTGCACTTGCTTATATTGAAGGGCATAAGCCAGCGCTTCGACCAGTCTTCTAGTCTGTTCAGGTTTGCTTGCAGGTGGTCTGCGTCTGCCGCATTGTGAATAACTTTCCACAATTTAATGTCGTCGGCAAACAGGATGGTATCACAGTCTAAGTCCTTGACGCAGTCATTTATGAAAACGAGGAATAACGTGGGACCTAGGACTGAGCCCTGTGGGACGCCACTCACCACGCTTACCTCTGAGGACTGTTGACGCCCGACCTGCATTCTTTGGGACCGTCCAGCCAAAAAGCTCAGGATCCATACAAGAAGGCGTCCACGAATTCCAGCGTTGCGTAGTTTGTGCAAGAGACGTTGGTGGGAACAATGTCGAAGGCCTTTTTGAAATCGATGTAGATGGCGTGCACCACACTACCTTCATCGCGTGCTTTGGTCCAGCGTTCGAGCGTAAAGAGCAGATTCGTGAGGCAGGACCTACCACTTCGAAAGCCGTGTTGTGCATCCGAGAGGAGGTGGTGCTGCTCGAGGAACTGCATCAAGGCCTTCTTAATGATCTTCTCCATGATTTTGCAACAGATCGAGGTAAGACTCACTGGCCTGTAGTTATTCGCAGACGCACGACTTCCGCTCTTAAAAAGCGGAGTGATGGTAGCGGACTTGCTTTCACATTTGCTCTCCGTTTGCGCCCGACAACGACCTTGGGAAACCAGCGTCGAAAATTTACGTAATAAACCCTCTTGTCTCACAGAACTCATCTCTTTTCAACATATCTATATATATGTACACATATACGTTGAAGAACAACCGTGGTGTGCGAAAGGGATACAAGCGAGAGATACACTTCCTTAGTATTAATAACTTATTTCAGGGCATCAGATTTACAATGGAAGAGCCGCAGTTGGAAATTCAAAGTATAAGTTGTATTTTCTACGAACAGTTGGAGAATTCAAGTGAATACACAGGAATCGAAACTGATAAGCCCGTAATAGAAGAGGTCTTGCGCTATATTCCGGGAAGGATACATGTCCCCGTATCCTAACACGAACCTTAACCCTAGACCTAATCTCCCTGGATTTCGGCGCAAAGACACAAGTATCACAGAATGCTTACCACCTTTGTTTCACAAGTAATCTGAAGCAACCTCACGTCGTTATCAGATCGTTCCGGTGATTTTCCCTTGAGTCTACACATATATTTGAAACCAGTTTTGAACGCTCAATTGGAAAGATCAATTGCTCAAGCGATCGATGCCACATCCTTCTCTGCGAAAGATATAAGCGACCTTTTTCATTTATTCAGCGTTCAAAGAAGAAACCTTCACTTTTTCAAAGAACTATCATCTCTAACATCAACTCAGGGCATGCTATTGCCTCTAATGTCGGTGAATCGGGGCTCACATGCAGGCAAACCAGCTGGGATCACCAAAATTCCACCAGAACAAGTTCTGTATCGATGTTCTGTACGTGTGCCTAGAGCGCACTGAGGCTGATTTTAAAAAGGCGTAAAGAAACACACGTTTAAATTAGCTGGTTGGATGCAGGATGTATAGAGCATATGTGCTCCATTTCACTTGACATCTTCTGTCTAGGCCTCAATTTCGTACTTCAACGGCCTCGACCACAGAAAAGCCATACATGGTCATCCTAGCGTCTCTTATCGCTTTTGGTATTACTGCTGGATTGCTGACTGAGTTTCATTCCTTTCGTCTTCGTTGTACGAATCGTCCTAACAGTGGCGTATGCACATTTATAACGTTCAGCCTTGCTAAATCTGTCAGACATTTAGACAACTGGGAATCACTTTGCACATTTGTTTCTAACTTGTCTGTGGGCATTTTTGGAAAGACTACACTATATAGATAAAGAAACTTACCTTTTCGAATGATTATGAAGGCAAATTGCTGCGAATTGCAAAGAATAGTCTCGTTTTATGATATCTGCTGCTGTCACTGCTTCTGCGACTGTGCTAAAAGCTACCGGGTAGAATACCCAAAGCCAGCATGGTCCCCATAGGTTCAGTGATCGGTTGCTGATTTAGTATATCTTTGCTCAGCAGCGTTCAACCCGCTCATAATAAAATAAACTTGCATCAGCCGTACACACGTTTTCGCTAACACTTTATGGTTATTACCAAGGTATGTTATACGAATGCCCTTTTTACTTAAAGCCCTTCACGCAAACTGGTTTTTTTTGGTTTGTTATGTGAAAGTTTTAATATTTTGGTCGGCAAATACTCAAACTTTTATAATTTCATTTTTTTCAATTTTTTTAAACCCTCATTATATTCCTTCCTTGAGTATAAAATATAAAGAGAACGTGATTCTCTATTAATCGACTGAAAAAGCATATCTTTGTTTATGGCTTCCATAAGATATATTTGAATTTGCATGACCAACGAAAATCAATGGCAACAATGCTTGCCATGTAAGCAGTCATTTTTTTACCGAATACGGTTTCTACAGGAGATTGAAAGGCCGTGTGTTCAAAAGCTGACATCCCGCTGAGTCCGAAATGTTATAAGATTATGTCGCAGGATAATCAGTATTACAACCGCAACTAGGTAATCCTTCCTAATCGAAAATGCATTTCAGAATTTCAGCAAGCATTTCATCAGATCGGTCACTCACTGTAAATACATAGATAACTATTTCCCAACTTAAGTAGACAACCTATCGATATTCTACAGATCGACGCTAAGATACGCAGTTGCCAATAGCAGTTATCAGGAGAACAGGCCACCTGTGATTACTCACGAGTCGCCGTAAAAAACGGGCATCATAAGGTGGTGACTTATTTAACAGTAAGTTCCTCACACATGAAAGTGTTTTAAAATCATGACTTATCTTTGTGAGCATTTCAGTTAAACTCAATTTCTATTTCGCAGTTTGATCATGTTGGTCAGACTTTCAGGAATTTCGGCGCTTTCTATAAGTTTTATTGGTAGCTATTCTTTTCATTGAAGCAATTTAATATTCTCTAATTCCTTGACGTTGTAGAGTTTGCCATATTAACATAAGTGTAAGGATTACAAAAAACGTATTTTGCTCACTAGTTCTTCGCGGCAGAAAACTTCTTTTTAAATCTTCAAAAATTGCTTCATGTTATTTAAGTTTTCCAAGCAACCTACACATGTTTTCCTGCGAGTCAAATCCTAGCACGATGCTTAGCCAGTAGGCAGCGTTTTAGGGTCAGGCACTGTTGATTGCACAAACGCCAGCTGTCGGAAGCGATCTTTAAGGCTCCTTTTGATATCTGGGGTCTGACATCGTTAATCTCCGCCTCTTCAACTGGAGTCTATCGTAGAAGGCGAAATGTGCAGCGCACTAACTTTATGTGCACGCGTATCTGTTCTAAAGTAGCTGCGACGTTCAAATCCGTGAGGAAATTATTTACGACATAAGAAGCAAATCTTAGGAAGTGCCTGCATTACCTTTACGGGCTCACTGACAAGCGCTGCCAATCAGTCATTTTTAATTGTTTTTGCAACTTTCCCATACAACAAGAGGAGAATGACTTACAAGAAGCGATAGCAGTCTAACTGGTTCCGTCATATTTGCACTGAATTGAAAACTGTACCAAGTGTGCTATCGACTTGCTCAAAATACAGGGAAAAATTAATCGGCGAGGTATGGTTCTGCAATCCCACCTGAGTGATACTACACGATTAGTTTTCTAAAAGGTTTTAATGTTTACGAGTACACTAACTTTGCATATGTCATGTATACGCATCTCTCCTATAACCTAAGTCCAGCGAGTGACTGGCCCAGGGGGTAGGAGTGCTTTTACGCCAGCCTCGGTTACTTCAGTTATCAGTTCACACGCGCTCCCCTCCGCATTGTTCGAGGCCTGCCTGCGGTCTCTTCATTATCTTAATCCATCAAGCGGCTAAGTAGACTTGCTAATGGAATTGTTCGGGCGGTGTGGCACTCCGTCGCTTCCACTACAATGGCCATGCACTGCGAATTACCACGCGATCTATTCCGTGGCCTTCCAGTTGTGATCGTGCCCCAAGTATCCTCTTAACCCAGCAAGTGGCTCTGTCTGGGGGAGAGTACTTACACGCCACCTTCATTCGCTTCCCTGCGCGTGCTTCGTGCTCTGCTTGCACTCTCTTTCTCCTCTAGTCCAGCGAGTGACTAAGTTGGGTATGTTAGCTAATATGGTTTTAGTAGGCTAACTATACGGTATCCATCAAATGGTGCTGCAGAACCAAACCTCTCCAACTGCTCTTCTAAGGTAAGGTTTTTTTCGAACTCATTGCCTAAGGAGCCAAAACCAGCGTTTACAGGACACCCTGAAGATCTGACTGAGATACTCTGGAAATAGAGCCTGACAACTGAGGAAGTCTTGCACGGAATCAACAGACAGGATGATAGACGTCAAATTCAGAGTAACAACCATCGGAGCTAATAGGAGCTACCTTCGACCGCCTCCCTGCGCGCACTTCGAGTTCTGTTTGCGCTCTACTGCCCTTCGTAACCTAGCGAGTGTCGAAGTTAGGGGTGTTAACTGATTTTCTATTTAGTAAGCTAACCATATGATACCGCTCATGTAAGACTGCAGAACCAAGATTAATCCGTAACGCCCACAAAATCGGCCTAACAATCTAATTTCCCACGAAACCTTTGTTCACGCGCTCCTGTAGCACCGCTAAATGACGCAGACCAGTAGATCCAGGCACGACTTTATCAATTTCCAAAGTCTCTGTCGCAATAGTTTCGAAATACTGATTGTATATCGTTAAGATTCGGCATAGGTAAGTGAAACGTGGTAGCTCGAAAGCATCGTCTTTTCATCCGGTTGCTGGCGCACAAACTCGTTGATGTGCTGGTATTATCCGCAGTAAAAACACTTTTATTTGAACTGGCATATACTGGGAGAGAAATACTAAAAACAAGTATAATTTCGGCCTTATATTTAACAGGGAAAATAATATATGCAAAACACTAAATGTAACATTGATCGATTTTCGAGACAACAACAGCTCCTGTGTGTCTGAGATGCGGAACGTTTTAGTTCATATCCTGCACTTGTAGTCAAATGACCTATCCAAACTAAATGCGACATGCATATAAAGTTAGTGACCTATCTGATGAAAGGTCACGAGCTGTGAACTTAAAACGCTGTAGCGGACGAAACGCCCACCCCGCATCCACGAAAGTTATACAGCGTTGAAGATACGACCAACCTTCATAATAAGGCACAGCTTGATCTAAAAAGTATTATTTACTGACTAAGAAACAATTTATTTTACTAAAAACTACCATACCAGAAAACGACTATGACATGGCAACTATTCAAGGCCTAATATGTGGGTCTGGGTCTACCCAGAGCCCATAAAGCAACAATGCATTCGCGGAAAAATCGGTGCATGAAAGAAAAAATATGAATTGCCAGAATTTCTTATCACTACTTTCTCTGCGGGCTGACTAAGAATATCAAGATTACGGACCCCTTCGACATTCTCTCACACTTGAGGGATACTTTTACTCAACCGCTCTCGTTCATGCCATATTACTAATATTTATGCGCAGATGATACCATTCCCAATTAGTTCAATTTGG